TGGCCGGTTCAGCCCAAGAGGAGGACGAGGAGGACGAGGACGAGGAGGCTGTTGTGGGCCGGATGACCGAATGCCAGCCTGATGCCAGCTTCCTTGCACTCTTTCCGAGACAAAGATAGTCAAGGCAGGATTCGCGCCAGCAGCCGAAGGAGCAGGAATGCGGATCACGCTGTCTGAGCTTTTCTTTTCTTTTCCAGAGACAGGAGAGGAGGGGAAGAGAAGCTGTTTCTGCTGACCAGCTAGAATTTCACTGTGTTCTTTTCCGTCCGCCATGCGGGCGCTGAGATGCCTCTGCCAGCTCCCCCACCCCCCCAGCCAATGGCCGGCCGACGCAGGCAGAAAAGCAGGATCGGGGGGGGGGCTCTCTGACATCATGGGTTGGGAGGATTTAGCCAGGGCAAAGCCTGGCACCAGGGAAGCATATAAAGCCAGGCCCCTCGGCTCGCCGGTATGCACTGCCACCGGCTTGGGGGAGATGGATGTCACCATCCACCACCCCTTCTTCCGCAGACGGCTCTTCCCCGGCCCCTCGTCCGGCCGCATCTTCAGCCAACATTTTGGGATCCCCTCATGGAATCCGAACTCTTCGCAGGCAGCTGGCCCCTGGGCTCCTTCCTGGGGAGGCCCTTCACCTTCAGGAACGCTGGATGGATAGACAGCGGACTCCCCGAGGTAACCTTGCGCCGATGCCAGAGATGCCCGTGGAGAGGGCACCTGCTGCCCGCTTATATATTTATTACATTAAGAATATTTATATAGCCTCTCCAACTCGCTCGTGTTGGTTCCAGGAGTTTACAAAACCCCCAAGACGAAACCCAATAACCCCCCCCCCCACACACACACATACAGATCAACAACAATCAAACCAGCTGCTCGATGAGCTCCGTATCATCCCCAGCTCCCTGGGGGTTCGTGGCAAAACCGCCTCTGCAGGGTCTTTTGAAAAAGTGCCAAAAGAAAGAGCCAAATTTATCTCTGCAAGGATGATGTTCCCCAGGGAAGGAGCCGCCACAGAGAAGGGCCTTCTTCTTGGTCCCACCAGATGGACCCCCCTTAAGAGACGGGACCTCTCTGGGTCAGTGGACGTAACTGGGAAGAAACAGTCCTTCAGCTACCACGTTTCTCCAAAAATAAGACCCTGCCTTATATTTTTTGGAACCCTGAAATAAGTGCTTGGCCTTATTGCCATGCGCTCAAAAGCCTGATTGGGCTTATTATCAGGGGATGTCTTATTTTGGGGGGAACAGGGTATCTATCTATCTATCATCTATCTATCTATCTATTTATCTATCTATCTATCTATCTATCTATCTATCTATCTATCTATCTAAGTATCTATCTATCTATCTATCTATCTATCTATCTATCTATCTATCTAAGTATCTATCTATCTATCAGTCTATCTATCTATCTATCTATCTATCTATCTATCTATCTATCTATCTATCTATCTATCATAACTAGGTATCTATCTATCTATCAGTCTATCTATCTATCTATCATATCTAAGTATCTATCTATCTATCTATCTATCTATCTATCTATCTATCTATCTTTCAGTCTATCTATCTATCTATCTACCGTGTTTTCCCAAAAATAAGACTCTGTCTTATACTTTTTTGAACTCTGAAATAAGCGCTTGGCCTTATTGCCATGCGCTCAAAAGCCCAATTTGGCTTATTATCAGGGATGTCTTATTTTGGGGAAAACAGGGAAGTCTGTTCCCAAGCCATGTAGGATGTTATCTTTGCTCTGTTATTCCTTTCTTTGTGAGGTTTGCATGCAGTAGAGCGAGGGTGGGTGGGTGGGACTCTATGGCAAAATCCTCTTAATTTGGGTGTCTCTGATGGCTTCTGTTGAGACAGGTTGACCCACAATTTCCATCATCTTAGCTGGCCTGGCCAGGAGGCGGTTAAGCCGGCATCTCTGCTGACAGTCCAGTTCTAATGTTGCACCAAGGATTCACTTATTTGTGAAACGGGCATCGTTTCCGTCCTTTTAAGATTTACTTAACGGTAACAGAGTTTGAAGGGATCTTGGAGGTCATCTAGTCTGTTCAGATGCCGACAGGTGCATCGCTCCTTTCCATGCGACCAGCTAAAAGGGATGGGTATTTCCCCCCCGCCGCCCCTCCCAAGGACAAGTCATACCTTGCTTGCTCCTTGCAATCTTAGATTGGGTGAATGTTTTGACTGGGTTAATTTTAGAGCTTCCTTGTGGTTTTATAGGTCTTTTAATCTTGGATTGGGACCTGCCCAGGGTGGGTTGAAAGATGGGTGGCTATATAAACGTTGTAAATAAAATGTTTTAAATAAATAAACAAGTAAACCAGATCTCATAAAGGGAAAAAAATTAAAGCGGGGGAGGATAAATTAGAAAAACAAGAACCTTTAAAGAAGTGGAAGGCTGGAATATGATGGGAGAAAGCATGGAAGTAAGGGTTACTGTTTTTTGGGTTTGGACTAAGGATGTAAGTAACCAAAGATGCTCGGTTCACACATGATGCAAAACCATAAAAAAAAAAAAAACTGAGCTAAAGATTAAGCAAACCAGATTTCTGATGTCATGAGAATGTATCTGCTCCTTTTGCCCTGATCTTTTAACTGATCTTGTTAAACATATTTGCGAAACCAACCCAATGAGGGAATAGAGCAGAGGTCTTCAAACTTGGCAGCTTTAAGACTTGTGGACTTTTAACTCCTATGCTGGCGGGAGAATTCTGGGAGCTGAAGTCCACAAGTCTTAAAGCTGCCAAGTTTGGGGACCCCTGGAATAGAGAGATTCACGGCAACTTCCACAAGATGCAAATTTTGCCAATTTTACAAGGGGTCCAAAGACCCACATCGTTTATTTTGGGCCTCCTGTCTTCCCATATGGCAGTAATGGCTAACCTTTTTGTGTGTGCCGTGTGCGGGAGGGCGCGGGGGGGTGGGTGGGTCGCGTGCATCCCACACCCATAATTATATGCACCCCGCCCCACACATGCGCGCATGACCCCCTCTCCCCCGCTCCTGGCATGCGATGGCCCCGGTAGTGTTTTTCTCTCTCACCTAGCTGCAGATTCTCTCTATGCGTCTGGGGAGGGTGAAAACAGCCTTCCCCATCCCCTCGGAGGCCGACCCACCCACCCACCCACCAGGCCCTCCGGAGGCAGGAAACATCCTGTTTCCCTACTTCTGCTGGGCCCAGAAAGCGTGAAAATCAGCTGGCCGGTGCTGAGTTGGCGTGGCCACTGAAATGGCTACATGTGCCACCTGTGGTACGTGTGCCATAGGTTTGCCATCAAGGCCATACGGTAAGTATTTTTTATCATAACTTGGGTTCAAAAGTTTGCAACGAGGTGTCCAACACACCAAAGCGTTCTGGGTCTGGAATTTCCCAACTTCTGATAAATACGAAATCTTCTTTCCCAACCCCAAACTGTTTGTCATCAGATGCGTTTGGAGAACGATAAGTTTTCCGTCAACCTGGATGTGAAGCATTTTTCTCCCGAGGAGTTGAAGGTCAAAGTATGGGGAGACGTGATTGAAGTCCAGGGGAAGCACGAGGAGCGCCAGGTTGGTCCTTTGGGGGATGAGCCCGTTCGGCACGGCAACAGGAGGGGAAAATTGATTACATTTATATGTCGCCCGCCTCCACTCCGAAGCGAAGAGGCCACACGGCCACCATAGCTGCACCTGGAAGGATATCACAAAGCGAGGCATATAGGGAGGCCAAATTAATTGGCTTATCCTTTCATTTAAAAGAATAATCGGAGCAGTCAGAGATGAGGTTAATCACGAGATCAGTCATTGCCCAGGCTGTTTCGGGGTGGCTTGTTCAGTTCTCAGGGACAGGATTGTTTTTAACCGGTACCCAGAAATATAAATTGGAAAGCTGAACACAGAGCTTTCCCACAGTAAGATGCTGCTTATTTCATCTATTTATTCATTAGATTTATATCCTGCCTTTATTACTGTATAAGTGATTCAAAGCAGCGAACATATTTAATACTCCTTCTTCCTCTGTGAGGTGGGTTGGGCTGAGAGAGGGAGAGAGACTGGCCCAAAAGTCACCCAGCTGGCTTTCGTGCCTAACGCGGGACTAGAACTCACCGCCTTCCGGGGATTGGCCCAAAGTCACCCAGCCGGTTTTCCTCTCCTTAAGGTGGGACTAGAACTCACTGTCTCCAGGTGTTTGGCCCAAAGTCAACCAGCTGGTTTTCATGCCCAAAGTGGAACTAGAACTCCCAGTCTCCTGGTTTCTAGACCGCCACTTTCACCACTGGACCAAACAGGCTCCAGGTGATTGGCCCAAAGTCATCCAACCGGTTTTCCTCTCAGGGTGGGATTAGAAGTCACTGTCTCCAGGTGATTGGCCCAAAGTCACCCAGCTGGCTTTCATGCCCAAAGCGGAACTAGAACTCCCAGTCTCCTGGTTTCTAGACCGCCACAGTCACCACTGGACCAAACAGACAGGATGATTCCCAAACTGACCATGCAATGCCTTTTCTGCCCCCCCCTCACCAAAGGGACGAACACGGCTTCATCGCCCGCGAGTTCAACAGGAAGTACAGAATCCCAGCCGATGTGGACCCCCTCGCCATCACCTCCTCCCTCTCCTCGGATGGCGTCCTGACGGTGAATGGACCAAGGAAACTCAAGAAGTTCCGGAGCGCAGCATCCCCGTCACGGGAAGAAAAATCGGCCCTCCTCCCAGGACCGAGGAAATAGAGAGAGAGACCCTCGGAGACCCTGGCCCCTTTTTTATACCAAAGAAAGCCTTTCCATAGGACAGAAACGGCAAATCGATTTTTCTTCATTTATTTCTCTGTGCAAAGATAGGCACGCGAGCTTCTTTAGTAACAAATAAACGGGGGTGGTAGCTTTTTCCTTGAATCTTCATGGCCAGCTACAACCTTAGCCAAGGCTCGGTCCTGAACGGGAGGGTTTAATCCGGATGTGGAACTGCGAAGAGAGTCACACACAAAACTAGGAAGGAACCAGAACGGAAACGCGAACTTATGGGGAGTCTCCTGGCGGGCGAAATTTCTTTTATTTTAGGAACTGCTGCCCATCAACCGAGCTTCTAATCTTGGTGGTGGTGGGGGGGACAAGGAGACCCTCCGGCAGAGATTTCCAGCCCCAGGGGATCCTGGAGCAGCGGCCTACTGCTTCGGCGGCGTCTCCGTTGCTTCCTTGGGCTTCACTTCGACCAAGGAGCAGGTTGGTCTGCCGTGCGGAGGCTCGTAATCGATCATGTAGCACGAGCGGGCGGTGGGCTTGATCGGAGGGGGCTCCAGCTCAGGCTGGTGTCCGGGAAACCAGTGAGGTTCTCGCGTCACCCCTAGGAGCATAGAGAGGACGGGAAAAGGCAGGAAAGCAAAGCATGGGTGTGTGTGTGTGTATTTGTGTGTGTGTAGCAACACTTAACCCATACACTGGGCTCCCTTTGCAACAGGCCAAGGCAGCCCTGGCCTGGCCTTCTCCTAACGAAAGGGGATCCCCCTACCTCAGAGGTCTTCAAACTTGGCAGCTTGAAGACTTGTGGACTTCTACTCCGAATTCTCCGAATTTGAAGACCTCTGATTAATCTAAGTGCCACGTTGTCCTCAAAGCTGCCAAAGTAAGTTTAAGATCCTCCCTAGCTACTACCTAAGCGAAAGGAGCCTAAGAAAGGCCCTGAAGTTGTCGGCCGTTGACGTCACTACGACTAGACACATTGGCCCGAAATTACTGCTGGTAAGGTGTTAAGTGAGTTTCGCTCCATTCTACGTTCTACGTTCTTGCCACCGTGGTTAAGCGAATCACTGCAGTTTGTTAAATTAGTCCCACGGTTGTTAAGCGGAAATCTGGCTTCCCGTTGAAAATTCGCTTTGTCGGAAGGGCATCTCGTGAATCGGCAACGGTCACAAATACGAATCAGTTGCCAAGGGTACACATTTGGATCACGTGACTATGGACGGCCGTAAGTGTGAAAAACCGTCCTGAGTCCCTTTTTTTCAGTGCCGTCGTTCACTTCAAACGGTCTCTAAACAAATGGTTGTAAGCCAAGGACTGCCTGGAGTTGGCTGCCTCCTTTTCTATCTTTCCCGGCTTTGGAAAATCACACCTGGATCCTTATGCCAGCCCAAGGATTTGGGTTCTCGAAGGGGGCTTAACTGGAATGGGGAATGAAGGAGGAAAAGCTAGTCAAAGACTGGGTTAAAGAGGGGTTGAAAAGCCGATGCTAAAAGGAGATGTCAGTTGCAGGACTGTCCATGGTACATAAGCATCGTCCAGAGGTGGGCAGATGTTATTAAAAAATGCTGGGAAGAGGGAGGAGCAACGGCTCCCTTGCACATCTGGGTGTGTATCACTGATTGTAGAGGGTGCACTTGAGGTCTCCCTCACCCCCCCAAGTCTTTGCTTGTGATATCGACTCTGATTTGAGACCCCTTGAAATCTCTCAGCTCACATGCTACCATGCTTATATCTGTCTTATTTCAACTCTCCTGCTAGGAATCTTTTGGGGAAAATATATATATATATATAAATATATGAAATATAGATGCCCTGGCTCTCTTGGCTGCATGTTTTCTTCCTGCGTGTTAAGTTTTGTACACCTACTTCTTAATCTGCGAGGCTTTTCCTTGGAATAGTCCGACGCGTAGGTGGCCTCGAAATAGTGAGCGTACTGCAAGGGAAGGTCGAGGGGTCAGTGTGCAGGCTTCATTCGGGAGGCCCTTTTCCTCCACTCCAACCTTCAAGGAGAGGGGACCCTCTCCCCAAAGCAGCTCTGCGGCTCGGAGGCCAACAGGGCTTTAGGCAGCACAGCGGAAAACGAGGAGTGTGACGTGATCACCTCCGGATTCCTGAACTCGGAAATCAGGCCTTGCTAGGTTCAATTAGGTTGCTGCCAAAAAAAATAGGCACACAGGGTGGCAGACAAGGAAAATAACCCAGGAACTGAACAGAGAAAGTAAGACAAAACAATAATATTAAGAAGAGAATAGAGAATAGAGAATAGAGAATAGAGAATAGAGAATAGAGAATAGAGAATAGAATAGAAATAGAATAGAATAGAAGAATAGAATAGAATAGGATAGGATAGATAGGATAGGATAGATATTGCAAAATCTCCACTCCCACCCCACTAGAAGGATATTGCAAAATCTCCACTCCCACTCCAGGGAAGGATATTGCAAAATCTCCACTCCCACCCCACTCTGGGGCCAGCCAGAGGTGGCATTTGCCAGTTCTCTGAACTGCTCAAAATTTCCGCTACCGGTTCGCCAGAACCTGCTGGATTTCACTTGATTCGAACCGCTGACCTTTCGATCGACAAGCTCGGCGTCTTATTATTATTATTATTATTTATTGAATTTATATCCCGCCCTTCTCCCCGAAGGGACTCTTAGCCACTGAGCCACCGCATCCCTATGAGGACTCCATAATTATAAGAAGCCCCAAATGCTATCTTGATCGTTAGCAACGGCCCTTTTTTGTGGCGACCTAGCGAGCAAAATCCCGTCCCAAGGACGGACAGCCTGACCTGGGAAGGGAGAGGTTTGAGTTGCCTCCTTTTCTGGATGTCGTAACGCTCCTCGTTCCAGTTTCCCAAGAGGGTCTTGTTGGCATACATGTCCTCGTTGGTGGTGCACCTCCAGCCATACTGGAAGAACTTGGAGGTGCTGTTCCAGTCCGTCCACACTTCCCCGTGGCCGTCCGCGTGGAGCAAGCAGCCATGAAGAGGGTTAAAGAAGCACGACAGGGACATGTCCTGTATGGAGACAGGAAAACAGGCCAAGGGCTGTACAGCAAATCAAGAACGCCCTTACAAGCACTCCTTGACTTAAAAAGCGAAAGGTTCCCCTCGCATGTACGTATGTGCTAGTCCAGTGATGGCTAATCTTTTTGCTGTCGCGTGCCAAAAGCGGGGGGGGGAGTGCGGAGGGTCGCACATGCACATGCCACACCCACAATTCAATGCGCTCCACCCCCACCATGCATGCATGTGCGACCCCCCCCGTGCTCCTCCCATTTTTGGCACGCGATGGCATGGTGGGCCCGGTAGTCCCGTTTTTCGGCTTCCCCAGGCTCCAGAGCCTTTCTAGGAGTCTGGGGAGGGCGAAAACTGCCTTCCCCATGCCCCTGGAGGCCCTCCAGAAGCCGGAAACGGCTCATTTGCCAACTTCTGGTGGCCCTGGAAGGCCCGAAAATCAGTTGGCTTGTGCGCGCATGTGCGCTGCAGCTGAGCTAGGGCAATGCTTGCGTGCCCACTGATATGACTCCGTGTGCCACCTGTTGCATGCATGCCATAGTTTCGCCATCACGGTGCTAATCGTTCCCGACTCGAGGGGATAGTGCTCATCTCCGTTTCAAAGCCGAAGAGCCAGCGCTGTCCGAAGACGTCTCCGTGGTCATGTGGCCGGCATGACTCAACGCCAAGGCGCACGGAACACTGTTCCCTTCCCACCAAAGGTGGTCCCTGTTTTTTCTACTTGCGTTTTTTATGTGCTTTCGAACTGCTAGGTTGGCAGAAGCTGGGACAAGTAACAGGAGCTTACCCCGTTACGCAACTTACAATCAAGTTACGTCAAATTAACTTACGTCAAATTACTCTTGATTTACAGATTCATTTAACAGCTGTTCAAAGTTACAATGCCCCCCAAAGTTATTTATGACTGCTCCTTGCATTTACAACCAAACAAGTCACATGATCTTCTACTAAATTCAGGTGCTTGGCAACCAGCACGTATAGGCCGCCTTTCGACTTAACGGCCCCCAAATTTCTGTTGTTAAGTGAGACATTGGTTAAGGGAGGGGTTTTTTTGGCTCCATTTTACGACTTTTCTTGCCACCGTTGTTAAGTGAAGCAGCGCAGTTGACAAGTTAGCAACCCGGTTGTTAAGTGAATCTGGCTTCCCCATCGACTTTGCTCGTCAGGTCGCAAAAGGGGGATCGTGTGACACTGCAACCGTCATAAATATGAGTCGGTTGTTAAGCATCAAAATTTTGATCACGTGATCATGGAGGAAGCTGCAGAGGATGTAACTTTGAAAAATGGCTGTAAGTCACGTTTTTCAGTGCCCCTGGAACTTCGGTCACTAAATGAACCGTCGTAAGTCAGGGCGACTATCTGTATTTCTCCCCTCTGCAATGTCAGTTCCTTTGGGAGTAATTTTAATCCAGAGTAGCAAGCAGATGGTCAAGAGAATAATTAAAGGGGGAAAAAGGAATTTTTTCCCAACGTTTCAACCTGGAATGGTGAGAAATCTGGACGCTCGGCAGCCGGAAATACCTCGGAGTTCGAAGTCGTAGTAGTGATATTGGAACTACTGCTCTCGTCCAAACTCCACATTTTCTTGCTACTTTTACCGTTTCTCAATTGGAAGATCTCAGAAAAAATGGAACACCTCAGTAACCTGGGTGCGAAAGCTACCGATGGATTTTTAAAATGCCAAGGGCTTTGCTGGGGTGGGGACCTGGGGCAGCCAGCCCCCCAAAAAACCCCCCTAATTTGCTTAGTTTGTGATGTAATCTCCTGATCATTGGGGGAAGTCTGAAGTCACTGTCCCAAACTGCATCTTGCCAAGGGAGGTGGGCACTAAGAGTTTTGGCCCCTTTGCCCACCAGCCTGGCATGACTAGGTCCCAGTTTCTTTTCTGCTGCGTCTTCATGTTGTTGTTTTTTTAATTTATTTATTTCGTTTGTTGGTCATGTTTATGTAGGGTATATTGGAGGTGGTGAGCCTTGGAGAGCTGCATGCGATGAAATTTCATTTTAATGTATGCCGATTAAGTGTACATTTAAAGTGATAATAAAGTTACTTTAAGTCTTGTTGCCTTTCTCTTGTTTTCTTTCTTTCTTTCTCTCTTTCTCTCTTTCTTTTTCTTTCTTCCTTCCATCCTTCTCTTTCTTTCCTTCCTTTTTCTTTCTCTCACTCTTCCCTTCCTTCTTTCCCTCCCTTCCTTGTTCCCTCCTCCCTTATTCCTTCTCTTTCTACCTTCCTTCCTTTTCTCTTTCCTTCCTTCTTTCTCTTTCCTTCCTTCTTTCCCTCCCTCCCTTGTTCCCTCATCTCCTTCTTTCTATTTTTCCTTCTTTTCCTTTTCTTTTTTCTTTCTTTCCTTCCTTTTCTTTCTTTCCCTCCCTCGTTTCCTCATCTCCTTCTATTTTTCCTTCCTTTTCTTTTTCTTTTCTTCCTTTCCTTCCTTTCCTTTCTCTTCCCTTCCTTCTTTCCCTCCCTCATTCCCTCCTTCTTTATTTCCTTCCTTCTCTTTCTTCCTTTCTTTCTCTTCCCTCTCTCGCTCCCTCTGTCCCATCTCTTTTCTTTCCTCCCTCCCTTATCCCCTTCTTTATTCCTTTATTTCTTTCCTTCCCTCCCTCCCTCCTTCCTTTTTTTTTGAATAAACACGCAATGCCTTGCCTAGCTTTCAGACTTCCGCCCCTCCCCCCCTTGTTTTTTGTTTTTTTGTTTTTTTTAAAAAATGTCTTTTTTTTTTCTTCCACCGGTGGCCCGTGTTGAGCTCAGTAGGCTTTGGCTCTCCTCTCCAGCCAGGCAGCCCCGAAATGCATTGTCCAAAAAATAAAACAAAAAGAAAAAAAAATTAAAAGAAAAAAAAAACGAGAGAGACGATAGACTGCTCCTGAACATGGAGGCTCCACCCACCAGGCTATTGCCTCAACCCTTCCCAAAAGTGACCCCCCTCCTCCCTACCGACCACGAAAACAACCCTAACAGTTGCAATAAAAGAAATAATTGCCCCCCCTCCCCCCCCCCTCGATTCCCACCTGCCGAAGAAGCCCCGCCGCCCAAGAAAAGCCTCGGCAAAGTCCGAAACGGGGCGGGGCGGGAGCGAGGGAGCCGTTCCTATGGCAACCGCAGAAGCCGCGCGCGGCAGGAAGAAGTGACGCGCGAAACGCTCGACCGCGCCGGAAGTGACGCGCAAAAGGCTCGACCGCGCTTTCGGAGCCCTTTCCGGAGGGGCGGGGCTGGGAAGAAGGTGGGGGGAGGAGGAGGAGGAGGAGGAAGCGAGCTGGGAAGTTTGGGATAGTTTTTGCAGTATTTTTATCCTTTTTTTCCCCACCCCGTGAATTTGTTTTATAAGGGAATTTGGGAAGGGGGATAAAAATAAGACTAGCTGCTAATACTACCGTACCCATCATCCCCAGCCAGGGGTCAGCCTGTCCTTTGCTTAGTGATAAGAAAAGAAATGTAATATATTACAATAATGTAACATATTACAATAATATATTACAAATAATATAATATATGTAACACCCCTGAGGTGTGGTTTGAAAGAAAGCAGTGGAATGAAATCGTAGGCTGATAGGGCTTCAAAGGGACCTTGGGGGTCATCTAGTCCAGCCCCCCTCTGCCCAATTATTATCCTGGATAAATAATTGTCCAGTTTTTTTTTTCTCCCTTGAAAACCACCAGCGATGGAGCAACCATAATTCTGGGAAGCAAGCTGTTCCCAATTGTTCTCGCTCTTCAGGAAATTCCTCCTTAGTTCCAGGCTGGATTTCCTTTTGATCAAATTTTCCACCTATTGCTTCTTTGTGCAAAAGCAACCCGAACTGTGACATTTTACCTCCTTGGTTTCACTCCTGCAGCATCCTTGGAGGTAGATTTGCCAGAGGACCAAGATCTTTCTCTAATCCAGCAGGAGCCCTGCAAGATTTGGGGCACAGCCTCCCCATTTGCAAGCTATTTGTCTACCCTGGCTGGCGCTGAGCGATGCTTGGTTGCTTCTCTGCTATAGAACCAAGGATTCTGGTGAATTCGGCAACTTGCATCTCCTCATTTCCTATTCCAAAAATGATTCGGCCGATTGCCTCAGAAGCACCAGACTAAAGGAGCAGAATCCCCTGAAGTCTTCTGCAGTCCGGACTCTGGCTTTTGACGGTGAATGTTTTCCTCCATGGAGCATCAACAAGCACGTTTCCTCCTGGTTGGGGAAGGAAACTTTTCCTTCTCGGTCCATCTGTACAAAGAGAGAGGCGTTGACACTCATATTATTGCAACCTGCTATGGTAGTGAAGAGTCTATATTGGAGCAAGCTTTCACCAAATCCAACATACAGTTTCTGAGAGACAAAGGTAAACGAGGTGTGGGGAAGCAGTATTGTTGTTGTTGTTGTTGCATTTTTGTTGTTCTTATATTTTGTTACTTGGGGGAAAACCCTGTTAAACTGCGTTATTGTTCTTTTAATGATCCAGGTGCTGAAGTCTACTTTTCTGTCAACTGCACAAAACTGAAGGAATACTTCTTGCCGGCTATGAGGAATTTTGACCGTATTTATTTCAATTTCCCCCATTGTGGAAAAAAGGCTGGAATAAAAAAGAACAGGGAGCTTCTTGCCAGGTTTTTCTGCAGGTGAGACAAGGCAAGGCTGCGTACCTTTTTCTGCTTCCATAAGTGTGTCTGTTTCAAGACCATTATGTTTGCAATAGAAGCCTCAAAATATAAGATGTTAAGAAGATATAGCTACTTTTTGATCTTCTAAACAGGCATATCTTGTTAAGATATCTTAAGAGTAACACTCTTAAAAGCATTGTGCAAAGAGCTGCTGGATACAACATGGTATCGGCAGAGGAAATATAATTGAGGATTTCTATGGCTTTGGTTATTGGTCTTGCTATCCCTGTATGCACCTCCAACAGCAAAGATTTTTATGCAAAACAATATTTCAGAAGTCCAAAGACGCCTTTGGAGCTGTTTTTCCTTTTTCTTTTAAAAAAAAATTCTGAGAAGGACAGCTTGCTACATTAGTTGCGTGGCAATTACACCCCTCTTTTTTCGTTGTTCCAGCTGTGCAGATGTTCTGGCAGAGAAAGGAGACGTCCACGTGGCACTTTGCAAAGGACAAGGGGGTACCCCTGCAGACCAGCCGGTGCGTGAGTGGCACAACAGCTGGCAAGTTGTGGAGATGGCAGCAGAAGCAGGATTCATCTTGAGCGGCATCGAGCCATTTAATATCAGAGATGTCAGTGGATATAAATGTACAGGCTACAGGTAAGCTATGGTTGACCCTATTCCAGGTGCCATCTTGGATGTTGCACAAGAAAGGGCCTTATTACTAAGTGCTCCTGTCTCTTTTGGGAAGCATCGTGCAAATTCTGTGGGTGAAAACTGCACATACAGAATTTATTCCTTATAAAACTAATATGTCCCATATTTAAATTTCTATGATCTCTAGCAGAAAAAATTTATGACTCTGTTGGTTCTCAGGCCTTTGTGGGGGGAAATTTATTGAAGGAACAGATTAAATTTCTAGTAAAACTATACAAATTTGGGGAATAATCAGAGCTATACAGCCTTCCTTAACTGAATTATTTCTGTAAATGTTGGACAACAGCTCCTTTGTCTCACAAATATTGTTCTGTTGACACCTTTCAGTATGAATCTTGCCTGGTGCTTCAGCCAGCTCAACGTTAACCTTCTGTATTTTGGATTCCATTGGTTTGCTTTCAATTGGTTCAGCTAATTGTACAAACGAAAAGCACTGATTCTTCTGCCTCCATACTTAATCTGCTTTCTTCCTAGGAATCAGGATAAATCTTTCTTCATAGAAGGCGCCCTGAATCACATATTCACCCGGAGTGTGCCATTTCTGCATTCTCAACCTTCAATTTGCAAAGTGGAGCTGGAAGGCGAATCAGTGTCCTGCCAAATTCCACAGATGTTCCTAGATAAGATAAACAGGTATGCAGCAAAATTTCCAGATCCTTTTGAGTCTGATCTCTGCATAATGTAATCACCTTGGCTGATATGCTCTTAAATGGAACATTTAAGGGGGGTCTACATTTCCCCTTGGTATCCAGATGTCTTTTGGACTGACATCTGAGAAACTCGAATAATACTAAGGAATGGGCTAAAAATTGTAACACATTCACATTTACTGCTCCATCAATAATTTATTGTTTTTGAAAGTACAACATCTGAGGTTAGTGGCTTGCCCTGTTTAATACTTCTTTTTTTTCTAATATTTTCATAATCTGAACTAGGAACTATTTAAGTATTAATTCGAATCATCCTGTGAGAACCATAAATGAAAAACTAATTGATGGCCTCGGCAGATCGTTCACGATTCAGAAGGCGAATTCTTCATTTCCCTTAGTATTCAAAGATGGTTCTGCTTCTCCTTCATTGGACGCCATTTGGATGGTTCCTGTTGCCAAAACTCGCCCTGAAATTAAGTCTGTGGCTTCTAAAAGCGACACGGGAACTGATGAGGACCAGGATTTGAGTTGGACCTTAGGACAATATTACCTTCGGCCTTCCCTGTTGGTTTTTCTTCATTCTATTGTAAAGCAGAGGGATTTTTCCCCTCAGAGTTTGTTGGCCCTGAGTGGACTGGCTTTTAAAAAATGTAAAATTTCTGTTCACGTGCCTCCCATTTTTCATGAGGCCCTCTTTATCTGCGCAGTTAAGGAAGACGTAGAAGACTCACAGCTCCTGATGGAAAGCCTCATAGGCACATTGAATTCTTTACTGCGATCATCCAATGTTAAGTTGGACTCTCTGAACCAGGAGACAGAAAGCCGTCAGCAGAATCCCTTCCTACCTTCTTCCGAACCGTTTCTGCTCAACCCAAAATACGCTGTGACTCTGAGCTGCCAGGGCTTGGATTCCGGCCCCAAAGAATTTCGCGTCGGGACAATAAGCACCGTTCGGTGGCAACCTTCAAGCGTTAATCAAAACATGGTTTGCGTTTCTTTGAACCTCGATCTTCTGGCGATGTGCGCGTGTGGCATTTCTGACTGGCGGATGCTTTGGACTTCGGACGAGCGTTTTGCGAGCCAGTTTTTGGGGGGGCGTTTAGGCGTTTTCCAGAGCTTTTCCCTCCACCCGCCGACGTACGTGCACGACATCAGCTTCTGGCTTCCAGAGGCAGAAACATTCCATGAAATCCAGCTTCACGCCATTGCCAGGCGTGCGTCTTTGGACACGGTTGCGTCTGTCCAGCTGCTTGACCGTTTTCGGCACCCGGGCGCAGCACACGCCATCAGCCTGTGCTACAGGCTCACATACCAGTCTTGCGACAAAGCGCTCGCTCGCCCCCAGGCGGCGGCCATGCAGATGGCGCTGAGGGAAGAACTGCAGCGTTGTCTCCGGGTGGTTGTTAGGTAGGAGGACCAGGAGGAGAACTTGGCAGGGCGGGTGAAAAAGGAGGACGAGGGAGGTGTGTTGGATGTCTTGGCCGCCTCGAGTTGTTTATAAAAATAAGAAAGCTGGAATTTAAATAAAATAAAACATTAAAACAGTTTCCTTGACAGGCAGTTATTTATTTACTTATTCAATTTATTTATTAGATTGAACAGCACAGCTGAATAGAATAGAAAGAATAGAATAGAATAGAATAGAATAGAATAGAATAGAATAATGGAATGGAATGGAATGGAATGGAATGGAATGGAATAATAATGGAATGGAATGGAATAGTGGAATAGAATAGAATAATAATGGAATGGAATAGCATAGCATAGCATAGCATAATGGAGTGGAATAAGAATAGAATGGAATGGAATGGAATGGAATAGAATAGAATAGAATAGAATAATGGAGTGGAATAAGAATAGAATAGAATAATAGAATGGAATAAGAATAGAATAATGGAGTGGAATGGAATGGAATAGAATAGAATAGAATAGAAGAATAGTGGAATGGAATAGAATAATGGAATGGAATAGAATAGAATAGAATAGAATAATGGAATGGAGTAAGAATAGAATAGAATAATGGAATAGAATAGAATAATAGAATGGAATAGAATAGAATAATGGAATGGAATAGAATAGCAGCATAGCATAGCATAATGGAGTGGAATGGAATAGAATAGAATAGAATTTTTTATTGGCCAAGTGTGATTGGACACACAAGGAATTTGTCTTTGGTGCACGTGCTCTCCTATGCACCAAGCATGAGCATATATGAGCCTAGCAAGCATCGCCTCTACAAAAAAAGCAATCACATCCTTCCGTCCTTTGCAATTGCACCCCATTGCCCACAATGGAGAAAACCAATCTCGGGGGGCGGGGTGGGGGAAGGCAATTTAGAGACGGAAGGACCTTCGGGGTGCAAATGAGAGAGGGGGGGGGGAGCTCTTCCCATTAGGCCCTGCAGCTGCCCCGCCTATGGGACTCCCTGCCTTTTCTTGCTGCACCAAAGCGCCGCGCGAGCCCGCAAGAGCAAGGCGTGGGGGGGGAAGGATTTTAAAAAAAGCAACTGCGCCTGCGCCGTGCCCACACTGAAGATGGCGTCGGGCGGCGTCGCGTCCCCGCACTGAGCGCCACGAGCCCGGCCGCCTGCCCACACTCGGCATGGCAGCCAAGGGGGCCCGGCAGCGGCCTCGATGGGGCGGCGGGGATTCGGCGGCGCCCGCCCGGCAGCGAGACGAGGGTCCTCCTCCGCCGCAGACGCCCGCCGAGGAGAACAAAGCCGAGTAGGGGCCGAGAGCGGGGAGGGAAGGCCTGGTTTCTGCCCCAGCGGGCTCTCCGGGGGTGGTTTGGACTACAACTCCCATCACCCCTCAGTGTCTTCAGCCTTCAACTACAAGGCTGGAGGTACTGAGGGATGCTGGGAGTTGTAGTTTACTGCCCCCCCCACACCCGCCGCTGAGAACCCAGGCTTCCAAAGGGGAGGGGGGCGTTTGTCTTTCTTGTGCTATTAATAGAACGAGGGTATTATGGGCTGGCTGGCTTGGGGGTGGTGGTAAATGGGGAGGGGGGTGTCAGGGCGCTGATTAAGCCCATTCTGCCTTTGGGATAATCGACGCCCTGACACCTGGTAGCAGAGGATGGTTTCGATCCATCTACCTCTGCTACCAGAGTGGTAGAAAGGAAGACACCCCCGCCCCCCCCATTTGGAAAAAGGGGGAGAAGGAATGAGCTTGCAATACTTCAGTAACTAACTGAGTTGGAAGGGACCTTGGAGGTCATCTAGTCCAACCCGCTGCTCTACCTGTACTAGGGATTCAGTGAACCTGAATCAAATCTAATCCATTCCATGGCCAGCCTTGGGGTGCCCATCCTAGTGGCATCCACAAGAGGAAAAGTAACTTTAAAAAATTCTCCCATCCACAAATCACAATTCTCCCCCCCCCCCAAAAAAACCCCAACCCATAGTTAAAATATTGACTAAATATTCTTTGTAATTGTAGGGAAAAGAAAATTGAAATAATATTGGTTTAGGACTTTAAGATTTAAGTAATGGGTTTTAGGATAGATAGTGGCATTGTCGAATAGATAGAATTTAGGGTAATAATGATGTAAAATATTAAGTTGTGTTATTTGAAAATTAAGATTGAGGTGAAACAATAGAAAGGTAATTGTTTCGAGTAAATCATTATAAATTAGGCATTCTTTTTTTGTTTATTTTTATTGTTATAAAATGGTAATTAGGGGAGATTTGGATAAAGCTTTTGTTAAACAGGAGTTAATAATTGTACCTATTTTTGACCGGATCAATGGCTCGTTCTGAAAAGATGTATTTTATGTTTGTTTGTTTTTTTTTTTAAAAAAAATTCTCCCATTCACAAATCATAATTTTGCACAAACCCCCCCCCAAAAAAACTTTTAATAAGTCCCTTTAACTAGGTTCTCCCCTACAGGGGAAGGGTTTGACAAGAGGAAAGGTAACTTAAAAATTTCTCCCATCCACAAATCATAATTTTGCACACACACAAAAAAACTTTTAATAAGTCCCTTTAACCAGGTTCTCCCCCTACAGGTGGGGGAGGGGTTTGGTCTTTATAGGACAGGCCAGTTTTAAACCTTAGAGGTGGCATTTGATTGATTTGAAACGGGGCTCTCCAAACTTGGCCACTTTTAAAGACGTGGACTTCAACTCCCACGATTCCCAGCCAGAAAACCCCAAGTTTTCAAAGAATACCTAATATACTGGCTGGGGAATTCTGGGAGTTGAAGTCCACGTCTTTAAAAGTGGCCAAGTTTGGGGAGCTCTGACTTAAAATAAGAGTAGCATTTAAGTGAAGAATAAGTGAGGTTCGGATCCAAGGGAGCATTTTCATCTTTTTTTTAGGCCTTAAATGCCCCAATTTGGCCCTCTGATGTCTTCATCAGCCTTTCCGGATGCTCCATTGGTATCCGAAAGCCAGAATAGCTGTCCAAGCAGCACCCTTTTTCCTCCTCTCTCTCATTTCTCTCCTTGCTCTCCATCTTCCTTTTACAGGGTTAATAACAGCCGCTTTGCTTTTCTCTTAGATCCTCAGGAACCAAAGCAGGTCACGTCTGGGCTCCGGAAGGATCGACGGCTTTCAAGTGTCTAATCTCAGCCAGGTTCTGCGCAGCTCTGCTAAGTAACATCTCGGACTGCGATGAAACCTTTAACTACTGGGAACCTGTGAGTATCGTTCTTGCCTGTGATAATAATACACCTCTTATTAGCTTTCAGGAGAGTGAATGTTTCATCGGCCTCTTTAATCACTTGCTGGATTTAAAGGTCTTGACTTGCTCTCAGCCGAACCCTTTGAAATCAGGTCACGGATCCTGTAGAGATTAGCTTCCTAGGCCAGGGATCTGCAACCTTAAACACTCAAAGAACCATTTGGACCAGTTTCCCACAGAAAAAAAAAAACACCGGGAGCCACAAAACCCTTTTCCGTGCCTGACTGTTTCTTGAGCTGCCACAAAACTAGCTTATGTAGTTGAATTAAATGTTATTTTTTTCTTCCGAAACTTTTCTTTTCTTGGATTTATCCATCGTTGGCCTACCGGGGGTTGAAAAGCTCAATAAATCGTGTGCGGGTGGGTGTCACACATTAGTGGTTGTGATGCATATTTTGAGTGACAGGGAGCCGCAGCAGAGGGGTGAAAGAGCCACATGTGGCTCCAGAGCTGCAGGTTGCTAACCCCTGTATTAGGCCTAGGGCAGAGGTCGGCAACCTTAAACACTCACAAAGGTCCTAATTGGAAGCCCCCATTCAATTCTGGAGCTGACCGGAAGTCCGGTTCCCCCATCATACAGTCTCTCCTAGCGCGGCAACCTTTTTCCTCTACCTGTCCTAATCGAAAGCCCTATCAATTGTGGAGCTATCCAGCAACAGGCAGCCGCAGCAGAGGGATGAAAGAGCCACATGCGGCTCCAGAGCCGCAGGTTGCTGACCCTGGCCTAGGGCAATCATCAGGGTACCAAAATGCCTCCCATATCCTCCTTGATGACTGACAGGTATCCCAAACAGGTACTTTTCCAAAGACTTTCTTGGGTTTTTTCTGCTTCGTTTGGCTTCTTTGGTTCTTCTCGGATGAGAAGCGAAATGTTTTCCAACAACAAAAACCCCAAGAAAGTCCAGTTTCCTTTTTTTGGGGGGGGGAACCCTCCCCCCCCCCAATCTTTGGGACAACCATGACCTGAATGATTGAGACTCTCCATAGACACTTTGTCAGGTCTGGGCTGAGTACTTAGTATTCTTCCTTGTATGCCTTGTATGTTGTAGAAAGCAAAACGTTGGACATTTTTTTCGTTGTGAGTTTCTTTTGTAGATGCACTACCTCGTTTATGGCAAAGGATTCCAGACGTGGGAATATTCTCCGGTTTATGCCATTCGCTCCTATGCGTACCTGTGGCTCCATGCTCTGCCGGCCCTCTTCCATGCTAGAGTTCTCCAAACAAACAAGGTAACACGAATCAGAGTCACATGACCTGTTGTTGTTAGTTGCGAAGTCGTGTCCGACCCATCACAACCCCATGGACCACGTTCCTCCAGGCCTTCCTGTCCTCTACCATCCTCTGGAGTCCATTGAAGCTCACGCCGACTGCTTCAGTGACTCCATCCAGCCACCTCCTTCTCTGCCGTCCCCTTCTTCTTTTGCCCTCCATCGTTCCCAGCATTGGCTCTTCTCCAGTGAGTCCTTCCTTCTCATTAGGTGGCCAAAGCATTTGAGTTTCCTCTTCAGGATCTGGCTTTCTAAAGAGCAGTCAGGGTTGATCTCCTCTAGGACTGACTGGTTGGATCTCCTTGCAGTCCAAGGGACTCGTGGAAGTCTTCTCCAGCACCAGAGTTCAAAGGCCTCCATTCTTTGGCCTCTCAGCCTTCCTTATGGTCCAACTTTCACAGCCATCCATTGCAACTGGGAAAACCATCGCCTTGACTATACGCACTTTTGTTGGCAGGGTGATGTCTCTGCTTTTTAGTGCGCTGTCGAGATTTGCGACCATTTGCTATCTAGATTTTGACCATTTGCGACATCCCCACATGACCTGGGGACGTCGCAAATGGTCGTAAATGCGGGCCAGTTGCCCAAAATGCAGGTCATAAATCCCTTTTCAATGTCCATCGTAACTTTGAACGCTTGCTAAGTGACCAGTGGTAAGTCAAGGACTATCTGTATGCATTAATTTTTCTTCCTTAAACCCGCTCTGTCTTAGGTCCCTTGTCTCTGAGATTGATTCCTTCTTCTTTTGTGTTCCTGGCCAGTAGGGAGAGCTCTTGCCCCTTTTTAAACATTGTGTGTTGTCGAGCTGGGCTCTCTGCTTCTTTTCGTCTTTGGGGGGAAGTTGCGGTTTTATTGGCAATTCCCCCATGCCCGGGCTGGGGGGGGAAAGGCTCCTAATGGGAGGGAGGCAGCTCCAAGTCCTCCGATTCTGCTCTTCTGCACCTATTCAACCCAGGTCTAAATCGAAACACGATTTAATCAACCTAACGGACATACCGAATGGCAAACTGGATCGAGTTTGGGGGGGGG